AGAGACAGAGACAGAGACAGAGACAGAGACAGAGACAGAGACAGAGACAGAGACAGAGACAGAGACAGAGACAGAGACAGAGACAGAGACAGAGAAAGAGACAGAGAACGACACAGAAAAAGAGACAGAGACGTCAAGTGGGAGCGTCCTGGCAGTAGCAGGTTTGTTTTGCAGGCCGCAGCAAGGGGGAAAAACGGCACAAGAACGGCTTTAAAAGAACAGATTTGAAGAGCGCAGCTGAATGACAAAGTATGATAAAAATGTCAAAAATGAAGTCACGCCAAAATTTATATTCATTCTTCCCTATCTTATAAATGAACAAATTGGTTCAACCGCATGAAATGAACCTAAACGTTGGCTCTTGAGCTGCAGGCGCGCGGGCGAATGTCCCGTTCCTGCGTGTCGCGTGCCGATATCGTCGGATTATGCTCCGCGATCAGATCGGTGCCCTACATTCTACGGCGCTTCGTATAGACTTCTCAAAAACACACCCATAAACTGCCCGACGTCGAGGGCGAAATACCCGCGCTCTACCCCCGAACGAGACTGCAAGACCATTACGGCGACCGGGAGGTTATTGAAATACGGTAATTTCCATCTGTGTTGCCGCTGTTCGTCATGTTATTGTTCCCGGTTGACAGAGGGGTGGTGCGGCGGGCGGGCGCCCCCAGCAGCGCCATACCCGCGCAGCCCCCGCCCCGACACACCCCACCCGCCCGCCGCACCACACACCGAGCGCGCACGTTCGACAGCAGGAATAGAAACGGCCCAGAGGACTCCATAACGACGGGAGCGCAGCGCCCTGAGCAGACGACACGACAGAAGCGACGGCGGCCGCCATGTTGGCAGAGTGCAGCAGACTGGGGGCCCGTAACCTGCAGAACGGACGTGAGGGGACTGGGGGGGCGCAGCGCGAGGCGCAGCTGGGACCAGCCGCGTAGAGAACCTCCTCGGGCCTACGGCAGCCCGGCAAGTCGATCACGGAACACCACTACTTCCCGGCACTGGCAAACAACATTTTCGACGAAAGTCACGGAGCGACGAAGAAGCACAGAACAGGGCGCCCTGGCGCGGATGCATCGCTGGGCTCCACAGCGGGGAGGCACGGCACTCACACAGGGCGGAGCATGGCGGCCGTGACTGCAGCAGGCGGAGCGGGCGGGGGCTGCTGACGGGGTGCTCGCGGAGCGTGCTCGTGGAGCTCGCGGGGCGGCGTGGCGCTGGTGCTGCCTCCGAGCGTCGCGGCCCGACTTGGTGTAAACCAGAGGCGTACCCGCTCGGCTGGGTCCGCTGCGCTTGGCTCTGCTCTGCCGCTCCACTCCGCGCGGGGCCTGGCGGGGTAGGCGGCTGGGGGCGGCTGGGGGCGGCTGGGGGCGGCTGGGGGCGGCTGGGGGCGCTGGCTCTTGTAGCGGAACGCGACGTGCGGTCCGCCCCCGGGGCACAGGCGCAGCGCTGTGCCATGTGTGTAGGCTGGACGCAGACCAAACTTTTCGACAGCGTCCGGCGGCACTAGCCCTGCATAATGATTCGTGTTGTAAAGGGATGGCCGAGATGGCCCGGTGGGGGCGGAGGGCGTTGTAGGGGGCGAGGGTTGTGGGCGCGGGGGGTGGTGGGGTGAAGGTAGGACGCGGGGCGAGGCAGCGAGAGAGGCCGTGTCGTGGAGCAGATGGCGCGGCAGCGATGTGGCCATTCAGAATGCATAGGGGTCCCCCGCGGCCTCGCGAGCCGAGACGCGACGGGGCGGTGCGCGGGGCGTGGCGTGGCGTAGCGTAGCGGGGCAACCTGTCCGGTCCAGAGCCCAGATACTTGCTGGCCGGGGGAGTGCCTCCTCCGCGATTCCCTCTGGGCGCTTGCCGGCCCTCCGGCGAAACAGGTGGGATCGATCAAAGACATCGGAGAGGGAGTTACTGCGGGTGAAAAGTGAAAAGGGCGTAAGTCCAATGCAAAGTCCGTGGACTTACGCCCTTTTCACCAGTGACTTCCTCTCCGATGTCTTTGATCGATTCCACCTGTTCCACCGGAGGGAGCCGATAGTACACAAGGGCCGGGAGGGCTGGGCGGGGCCGGGCCGGAGGATCGCGCGGCAGGCCAAGAACAAAATAATGCATCAGGCGCTGCTACGGGGAAGGGAAGGGACGTAGGGGACGCACCCCGGCGCGCAGATCTCTCTTCGCGCGTTATTCACTCTGTCCAGCCCAAGAGGGGGAGTGATGGAGGGAGGGGCGAGGGGGGCACGGGCTGTTTTCGTAACAAGCCGGTCAGGTTACCGGAGCTGAT